CTCTAAATGAGTGATTCAAGTATTATGGATATGATATCTTTCGTATGTTATGTTTGTTCGAATTACTATGTAAAAATAAGTTGTTGATGTGATTTTTGCTTCTGTTGAATCTTGATAATTCATGTTCACATATTATGATGTTTATATCATACCTACATATTTCAGTTAGAAACAACACCGTTGAGGTGAAATGATCTCCGATGACCAGAGTAAGGAAGATATCAGATGGTTAGATCATCGGTTGAAAGAGTTAAGCAAAGAGAGAGTAAACGAATATAATTTCTCATTGATGAAAACTGTTTACCGACTCGATATATATAGCCTATACAAGTTGATACAAGAAAGGCCCAACAGACTCAACTAACAATAATAGAAATTAAACTGACTAATAACCTTCAGTTTCATTACTCTAATATTTTCCTGGTTCTAATCATCCTTTAACAGCACAACCCTAAGACGATACCGCATACTCTGAAACTGTGATGGAGGTATAGGCTTTGTAAGAATATCTGCCACTTGCTCTGAAGATGGAACAAAATTGACTACCAGACGACCAGAAATAACTCTTTCACGAACAAAATGTAGATCATTTTCTACATGCTCGACACGAGCATGGTGAGTGGAATTAGCGGCCTTGGAAATGGTGGAAGAATTATCACACCAAACCACTGGTTTACTTTCAATCAACAGCCCAACTTCATTCAACAGCTGCACAATCCAAAATAACTCAGAAACCGAATTCGCCAAGCTTCAATACTCAGCTTCCAAAGTTGAACGAGACACAACGCTCTGTTTCTTAGAACACCAGGAGACAGGGTAGCCACCAAGGTAGATACAATAACCATGAGTGGAATGACGGTCCTCGACCGAAGCTGCCCAATCATCAGCATCAGCATAACAAACAAGATCAGGACTTTAGAAGACTGATAGCACAATCCATAGTCTAACGTTCCAGACAGATACCCGAGGATACGTTTAACAGCTCGCCAGTGAATATCACATGGATCGTTCATATATTGACTGACCTTGTTAACAGCAAAGGCAATGTATGGTCTCGTCAATGTCAAATACTGCAAGCCACCAACAATGCTTCGATACAAATGAATATCTTCAAAGGAAGGCAGATCCCTCTCCAGCCTTTAGCTTTGGATACACAACCGTGGGAGTTGGAGTGGAATTTGAACCAACCATACCAGCTTTTTCTAATAGTTCAGTCATATAACGCCTCTGACTTAAACGCAAGCCATGAGAATGCTATTGAACCTCCGTGCCCAAAAAGAATTCAACATTTCCCAAGTCTTTAAGCAAAAATTCAGCATTTATAAGCTGAACCACTTCATCAACCTCCTTGCAATCACTCCCAGTGATGGTAATATCATCCACATACACCATTAACAATAACTTGGAAGTGTCACCGTTAACATGAGAATATTTATTCTCAATATTGAACAAGAATATTGTCCAAATTATAGAAAGCAATGGCTTTTATATCAATGGCCTTTCTAAGGCCTGAAAACGCACTTCCAAGCCATAAAACCAGGGAGCCCTTAATCCATGTTGTGTCTATTTCTAAAAGGTAGTTATATATATATATATATTAAAAATCAATATAAAAATTTATAACTATTAAATAAAAATATGTTTAATATTTAATTATATTGATTTGAGATTTCGTTGGGCTGGCCGAGTTGAGTTAGGCTCACAATATTTTTTTTATAAAAAAATTAGAATTTAGATTGTATAATTTATAATATATTTTTGTTTAAATTTTATGTATTCTATGCTACGAAAATTAAATTTATAATATCATAATGTAAATATTAAAAAATATATTAAGTTTTTTATGTTTAATATTTTATCATATATATTTAACATTATTAAATATTAGGATAAAAATATGAGGTAGAATATACTTAAATATTATAAAATTAAAAGAAATTATACTGATTTAGGATCATTAAATGAATGTAAATCGATCATACTATTATTTTTTATTTTTTAAAATAACCTAAGGTGATTATAAGGTAATATATGTTTAAAATCTTTCTTAGCCATGTCAATGCACGCACACACTGTTTGAACTCATATCTTGTAGGAAGACCAACATTATTTTCTTCCATTAAGACCACTAAATAAGTTCAATTAATCATTTATAAATATACTTGGAAAATAAAAATATATAATTTAAAATTAAGTTTCAACAATTATTTATAGTATTAATATTATACATAAATCTGGTCTTATTTAAGTCATACTAGATCCATATATATACACATTTAAATTTTATTTTAAAAAAAAAAGTATACATTTAAAAAATATACACATTTAATATTATAGCATTAAAATAGAATTAAGAAAAAACGTTGGTGAAAAATTATTAAAGAAATACAACATTTGTTATAATGAATTAGAATTTAGTCATGTAAACATAACGAGTTTCATAAAAATAATTTTGATTAAACTTCGTCATGTGAACATGATGAATTTCAATAAAATATATATTTTATAGATTTTGTCATGTTCAAATGACAAATTTCAATAAAAAATTATATTTTACAAAAAAATCATCATACTTACGTGATGAGTTTCTATTTCACTGTAACAAGTATCATATATTCTAAATAATATTTTACTTACCACCAATAATATGTTCCTAATTTTACCCATCCGAGGGAATGTTAGGCCAAACTACATGCCTAACCCTATCCGGTAAATGTAAAAATCAAAAATAATTTTTTTAATAGAAATTAGTTTTATTAAAAATATAAAATATCTAAAATTATAATGAAGATTTATAAGCATAATCATAACCATAAACCTAAAATATAATTATATCATTTTCTAATATCATTGAGATAAAAACTAGCCACCTAGATTACATAAGAACCAAAGAAGAAAAATGTTAAAAAACCTAACCGAAAAGCTCGAAATATACGAACAAATCTGATTGCATCGGAAAACGAACCACAAAAGGGGATGGAGTTACTGAAATAGCACCGACAAATCGCAAATCAGAGTCGAACGACGTGAGAAAACTATCCACAAATACAAAAAGCGTATACAAATCAATTCGATGGTCCAAAACAGAGAAGATAATCATGATAACAAATAAATGTGATCTTGATTAGTTGTGACGATGTCAAACCTATTTCTGGAGAAAAAAAAAGATAAACGAAAACAACAACAACAAACCGTAACCTATCAAAAGATAGAAATAAACGTGTCATAAAGACAAAAATATGTCACGAAATAATTATTCTTATTAAAAAATAAAAAAGATAACCGACAAGCGACAACCAACATCAAAACTAGTGTCGCCGTCAGTTAAACAAAATAAAAGAAGAAAAACTTGGATTCATCTATAACATTGATACAAGTTGCAAAAGAAGGGGAAAAAGATTAAAACAAATTTTGATTAAGCATTCAATTATATAGTAGTATATTTATAATGTTTTACAGTTAACAACAACAACAACAACAAAACTCTATTCCCATATGTAATGGGGTTAGGGGGTGGTAGGGTAGTAGGTTGTCCCTAACGCCAGGTTGAGAGCAGCTTCCGTGGAAGACCTCCGACAGTCAGAAAAATTTAAAAATAAAGATAAAATACAATGCATGTATAAATAAATAGATAAATAAATACATAGTTGAACAGTCTTCATATGCGCGTTTGTAATGGGAAGTTATCCCTGCAAATAAATCCCTGCGTATAAATCTCTGCATATAGACAAAAAATGTAAGTCCCAAATAAATTTAAAAGACGAAACATGAGAATGATATACAGAAGTCAGTGGTTGCAAGCTACGATAAAGGAATAATGTCAAATGGGTTAAAACCTAAACTAATGCAACACTACTCCGCTATCCTAGTTCTAATCCTTCAAAAATTCCCATGACAAAAATGTATTAAAAGTAGAAGTCAAGGAAATTACTATAAAGGCATTAAAAAGAAGGCAGAGATGCTACACCCTATAGATGTGACCCACACTACTCTGCTACCCTGGTCTTAAGTCTCCATACTTTCTTATCAGAGGTCATGTCCTCGGTAAGGGTTAAATCCTTCAAATCAGATCTCAAGCAGTCTACCCACTTCCTCATTGGTCGTCCTCTCCTTCTGGCACCGTCGACTATAATCGACTCTACCCTCCTGACCGCATCCGACTGTTGTCTCCTAATGACATGTCCAAACCACCATAGTTTTCCCTCCCTCAATTTTTCGGATACAAGCATCACCCCCAAGGACATCCTATTTGCAGAGTTTGGAGTAATTTTCCACATAGTCTAACCACATGTCCATCGAAGCATTCTTATTTCTGCGACCTCCATCCTCCTTACGTGATTCTTCTAGATTATCCAATATTCTGATCCATACATCAACGCTGGTCTTATTGTAACTTTATAAAATTTTTCCTTAAGTTTTAGAGTCACCTTCTTGTCACACAAAATTTCTGTAAAAGAAAAAAAGAAAAAAATCCAATTCCAGATATAAATGCATGATTGAAAGGATTCCTCTTTCCTTTATCAAGTTATCATTTGAAAGCATACGTGTTTGGGTAATAACTTACCTTTCTTGTATACTATTTCTTTTTTCTCAGCTTTTGATTTTGAACCAGTGACAGCCATGTTACTGATCAGAGTTTCTGGTATTCCATGATTCTGAGCTCTCAAAGAAAGTCCCGACAGCGACAAGAGAAATCCTACCGAAACATCACTTCAGTTTGGGTCATTTCTTACAAGAATCTGTTTTCTTTTGGGACTGCAACAAGTGCTGGATCAATGGGGCTAACGAAAGACGGGTTTGTTTTGAGTTGTGGTTTTGGTCTGCTTGTGGACTTTTGCATTTGGATCGCTTCCACCAAAAGATGTTAACTTTGAAGGTAACTCTAATCAAATGGCTGCTTGTCTTGTTAAATTCTGTAAAGAAGTGAGTTTGCAAGCAGGAAATGAATCTTTTGTTTTGTTCAGTGCAAGCTTTAGTGGGCATAAACTCTGGTCGATCCTCATGGAGTATTTAAGACTTGGGACGACACTGCTGTTCATCCTTGCGATTGGAACATGATCACTTGTGCTGACGGTGTAGTCACTGTCTTGTAAGTATTTGATGTTATGGTTAAATGAACTTATTACAAGCTTGTTGGCTCAAATGTTTTTTCTTATTACAGGGAAGCTCCAAGCCATATTTGTCTGGTACTCTTGCCCCTACCATTGGAAACTTGACAAATCTCCAGCTTTTGTGAGCATCAGTTCTCAGATCTTACTATGACAATTGTGATTTAGTTTATGATTGCTTTGTTCAATAAAAATCCTTTGCTTTTACAGGAGCCTTCAGAATAACAATATATCAGGAAATGTACCATCGGGACTAGGGAAGCTTTCGAAGCTCGAAAACCTTGATCTTTCTAACAACCGTTTCGAAGGTCGAATTCCCGGCACTCTATCCCGTCTGAAAAGTCTTCTGTATCTTTAAGTATCTATATCGAATTGTTCGGCTGGTTCGTGTAATCACCTTATTCTCATGCTGCTATCTCTTCTGAACCAACATATAACTGTGTTTCTGAAACAACAGATGTTCGGGACATGAGTTGTATCCGAACAGCTAATCCAGCATCCACACCTACCATGGGAGTTGTTTTGAACATGAATTGTTTCGAACGAGAGTTGTTCTAAGTATCTACATATAAAAAAAGGTTTGAATTTGATGATGTGGTTCTGTTTGAATAATAACAGGAGGCTGAATAACAACACTCTCTCAGGAGCAATCCCTTCCTCTTTGGCAAACATGTCGCAGCTAAATTTCCTGTAATTCACTAAATCCTATGAATTCCAAGTTCCAGTTATTTTATTTCCAAAGTTAATTCATATCAGACACAGTACGAGGATTTTCAACAATATGCGTGATCTGTCTTATATTACAGGGTCAATAATTTGGGCGGTTCATTCCCAGAATTGCTTGCAAAAACATACAAGTAAGATAGAGTTAGATTTTGTTTTACCATGTAAATTTACCCTGTATGAAGTAATATATATATATATATATATATATATATATATATATTATTTGCTTACATATTTTTTAGTTGACACAGTATTTTCGGAAACCCACTGATTTGTGGTGTAGAGACTGAAAAAGATTGCTCCAGAACCAGACCAACGCCAATGTCTCTTTCTTTAAATAATTCACAAAGTAAGAACAAAACCTTCCCTCTTCAATGTTTCTCAAGTAACTGTTTAACGAGTAAACTACATGTTTAGTACCCCAGCTATTACTTTTGTTCTGTTTTGGTCACCCAACTATTTTTTGTTTCAAAATCATACCTAATGTTACGTTTTTTGTTTTATTTTGGTCACCCACCGTTAAAAAATTAACGGTGATGCTGATGTTTCACCATAAGGTAATGCCACACCATTACTGAAAAAATTTAAAGAATACCATGTCAGCGTTTCTGTTATATTATTAAAGGCATGTGACCAAAATGAAACTAAAACATAACGTTAGGCATGATTTGAAAAACAATTAATAGTTGAGTGACTAAAACAGAACAAAAATAATAGTTGGGGTATTGAACATGTAGTTTACCCTTGTTTAATTCTATCAATCTGACATCATATAACGTTAGGCATGATTTAAAGAATATCCTTGTTCTTTTCTAGTAGATCCAAGAGCCGTGAAATTGCTTTAGCCATTGGCTTAACACTTGCCTGCATTTGCCTACTTAGTCTTGCCTTTGGTTTCTTTCTTTGGTGGAGAAAAAAACACAACCAGCAAATCTTCTTTGACGTTAATGGTTAGTAAAAACTATATATATATATATACATACACAGACACACACACACATGAAACCAGAATATTGTTGATGAAAAAGGGCTAATTTAATTTGTCTCCATACAAACATTTTCTCTCTCTCTTAACATCTCAGAACAACACCAAGAAGAAATATGTCTTGGAAACTTGAAGAGGTTCCATTTCAAGGAACTTCAGGTGGCGACTAACAATTTCAGCAGCCGGAACTTAGTCGGGAAAGGAGGTTTCGGTTACGTATACAAAGGGTATTTACACGATGGAACGATCGTAGCTGTAAAAAGGCTTAAAGATGGAAACGCCATTGGAGGTGAAACCCAGTTTCAAACTGAAGTGGAACTCATTAGCTTAGCAATTCACCGCCACCTCCTTCGTCTCTACGGCTTTTGCATCACTGCAACGGAGAGGCTTCTGGTTTACCCTTACATGTCTAATGGAAGCGTTGCCACTCGCCTCAAAGGTACTTTGAAACGAAAAATGAGTCCGAGCAACGTAGATCTCAAATGTTCAGTAAGTTGAAATTTTGTACTCGAGAATAATGTTGTCTAACTTGTGTGTGTTGCAGTGAAACCAGCATTGGATTGGGGCACAAGGAAGAGAATTGCATTAGGAGCAGCAAGGGGGTTACTGTATTTGCACGAGCAGTGTGATCCCAAGATAATTCACAGGGATGTTAAGGCAGCAAATATACTTCTTGATGATGATTGTGAGGACATTATCGGAGATTTCGGATTGGCAAAGTTGTTGTATAATCGAGAATCACATGTAACAACAGCCGTGAGAGGCACCGTGGGACATATAGCCCCTGAATATATATCAACTGGGCAATCCTCTGAGAAAACAGATGTTTTCTGATTTGGAATCCTTTTACTTGAGCTCAGATCTGGGCTGAGGGCACTCGAATTCGAGAAATCAGCTAACCAGAAAGGAGCCATGCTTGACTGGGTGAGCTAATCAAACAAATTTACTTTTTTCCACTAGTTTTCATTGAAATATCTATGTTTGAAGCATATTCAGATATTGGTACTGTATAACAATACAATTACGTGCAATGCAGGTAAGAAAAATTCACCAGGAAAAGAAACTAGAATTGATAGTTGACAAGGATCTGAAGAACAACTACGACAGAAATGAGGTTGAAGAAATGGTTCGAGTTGCACTTTTATGCATTCAATATCATTCGAGTCAAAGACCGAAGATGTTGGAAGTGGTTCGGATGCTAGAAGGCGACAGGCTAGCCGACAAGTGGGAAGCTTCTCAAAGAGCTGAACCATCCAGGTCTGGAGCTCTCCTTGGGAACGATACTCTGATCTAACCGATGACTCTTCATTGTTGGTCCCTGCAATGGAGCTCTCTGGACCAAGATGACATCACATGAACCTCTCAAAGAGGGTTTATAAAAAAGAAGAAACTGGAATGAATCGCCATGACAGGAATGAATGTGTTATATAGTATTGTAATACTGGAAAAGTGAGAATTACTATAAATCTGTGTCATTTCTGACTGTACATATTTGGATTCGAAGTTGGAAGATAAAAAAGGGTAAATTACTCAAGTGACCACTTAATTATGGGGTTAGTATAGATATGACCACCATACTTTCTATTTTGACAGCATAACCACATAACCATTTAAGTGAGTTCAATGTAGCCATTTGCCATTAAAATAAACAGTGTAGTTAATATGAATGCTATTGATTAATGGCGAGTCAGAGGTCCACATCAGCTACACTATTTTTAATGACAAGTTGTTACATTAAAATCACTTAAATAGTTATATGCTCATATGCCAAAATTAAAAGTATAGTGGTCAAATCGACACCAATCTCATAATTAAGTGGTCATTTTAAGTAGTTTACCCAAAAATAAAACTGACAAATTTAGGTTGAGTGTTGTTACATATTCCTGTTTTTGGTGAGCGAATAATATTTATGGTGATGCTTGTATTTCTCTGTTATTTGTAATAAAAACCCTGTTCAATTTTCTTTAAAATAAAGTCGAAAGATTAGATCATATACTTGAATATGTGCTGTATTTAACCAATTGAGTTGGTTCAGGTGGTGAGTCGCTTGATATAGTTTAAATAAGATCTCAAGTTCAAATTTTTGTGTATGCAAAAAATTACGAAGGGAAACTCACCCACTAAAACCAGATGTATAACCTAAGTCGATCCAGATTTGTCTGGATGAAGCCTTAGAATTGGAGAGCAAAAAAAAATATGTGCTGCATTTAGAGAATTCATATTCTCGTAACAGTCTGCCATACATGTGTATACGTTTTTTCTCCATGGTTTTTTCAAGCTTTCAAACAATGATAACAGATAATAAGCTCATATAACTATATGATCTAAATTAAGCCCAAACATTCAAAGATAGTTTATTCAAATTGATTGAAAAAAATAACACTGTGATTGTACTTAATGTTTGCTTTCGAAATTAAAAATAATTGAATTCGTTAAGTGATTTCGGTAATTGAAGAGAGTATTTTTTTCTAAAGATTTTAGATTCGAACAATTGCATCTGCAAAGTGTTTGTACATTTATCAATAAATCAGAAAGATATTTTCAACATATATTACATTATAATAATTCACGCTATTTAAAAGAAGAAATCGAAAGTGATTAAATGATTTTCTAATGGAACCAATATTTCAGGTTTTAAAATTAAGAGGATCTAGTAGGAAACTTCACCAATAATGTTCCCATATTTTTTCCCCAATCTAGCCTAGGGGCACGAAATAATTAACTTCATTGGTTAAAAAAATAGATGTTGATCTTAAAGGTCTCGTATTTAAACACCAACAATTATAATAAAATAATTAATTATTTATTAATAAATAATTAAAATATATACTATTTTATAATAATTTTAATTTATTTAAAATAATAATAATAATAATCTAGCCTAGGGCCCAAAAAAATGCACGGGGCATTCATAAATTCACCCGCATCACATTTCTTTGTCCACTGCTGTTCTCGCCGGGAACAAACCAACCTACCAGGAAAACACCATTTTTTTTCCTTCCCATTTTCTCTCCACTTCCTTCCTTTTTCCCCCCTATCAAATTATCATATTTTTTTAATCTCCACATCTTGGGTTTCTTTTTCGTCGTGTTTGTTTGTTTGTTTTTTGACATCTGGAGGAGAAGGAGCGTAGATGAGAACAGGAAAGGGAAGTCAGGAGGAAGAACAGTACGAGGAAGAAGAGTTTGGTTCCAAAAATCAAGGGCCATCCTTTAATCAAACGATGTCTTTAAACACTATTAATAACAACACCAACAAAGGTATTATTCTATTGGATCCCACTGTTTGCCCTCCAGATCCCCCTTTTCCCTTTTCTTCTCTTCTATCACTTTATTTCTAGATGATTAATGATTGTTTCTCAATGGGTTTTTCTTTTCTTTTGTTGAATCTGGAATTCCGGGTTTTCTTTATATATTACATTTTTTTGTTGTTTAAAACAGATGGGAATAACAGTGATAAGGCTAACGCTATACGATCGAAACACTCGGTTACGGAGCAAAGGAGACGGAGTAAGATTAATGAAAGGTGTATATATATATATAGAATTTCTTGTTAAACTCCAATAAGAAATATTGGATCAATGATGGTAGCTTAACTAAGTGAATGGTAACATGGAACATTTTTCTGATGCTTTTAGGTTTCAATTATTGAGAAATCTAATTCCGAACCCTGATCAAAAGAGAGATACAGCTTCCTTCCTTCTAGAGGTAGGTTGTGAATCTGCAGATTGAATATTTTCATATATTTTATGCATATGAAAATTCTGATTGATCTGTTTACTTGTTTAAGAAATTGTTGAAATCGATGTTCTTTTGCAGGTGATAGAGTATGTTCAATATTTACAGGAGAAGGTTAAAAAGTATGAGGGTTCATATCAGGAATGGAATTCTGAGCCAACAAAATTAATGCCATGGGTATGTTCTTGTATCCTTACTATCTACGGAGTTTAGCATTTAATTTGCAATTTAAAACTATGTTTTACTTGAACTCAGGGGTAAGTTTCATATATGGTTATGTGTTCGATATGAGTATGTTTGACATGGATGATACGTTACTCGGCTTATTACCAGAGACATTATATCCATGTTATCTTGGGAGAAGCATGTTAATTATTTTCACGGGGTTAATCGCTTGTATTCATAAGTTACTCGGTATTGAAGATTTTCCGTACTTTATTATAGAGAAATAGTCATTGGCGCGTTCAGAGCTTTGGTGGTCAACAGCAAGCTATTAAAAATGGTTCTGGTCTGGGGTCTGCATTTTCCGGGAAGTTTGATGAGAATAACAGCAACATCGACCCCACAATGATTACAGGTTCTCAAAATCTGGTAGAATCTGATTCTCTCAGAGACACAATGTCCAAAGCTATGGATCAGCAACCTGAGTTGATGAGTTGGAAAATACCTATGCCCGTCCAAGGTTATAACATGCTTGTGCATCCCCTTCAGAGAGCAGTATCTGAGGCTCAATCGACCGAGTGCTTTATCGGCAACGATACATTGAACCAACTTGAAGATCTGACCATTGAAGGAGGAACAATTAGCATATCGAGTGTCTATTCTGAAGGGTGGGTTAATCTTCTTTTCTTTTTCGATCCTCCACATGTATGACGCGTCAATTACATATCTTCTATAGTTTATGGGATTTTTGAGTTGCAAAATTTTACATCACTGCTCTTTTTTTGAACATATTATGATTTGTTCTGATATTTTACATCAGCAATAGTTGCTCCCATCATTTGAGGCCCGAGGCTGTCTAGATTTAATTTTTATGTTTATCGTATGCTTCCTTTGTCATCTCCCGCGGGGGGTGCACTGACCGGTTCCTCGACAAGACAAAATACTGTGTGGCTAAAACAAAACTCATTGGGTTTAGGATGCTCTGAACTTTAAGTTGATAATGTTTATGGATTCTGATGTTGACCAGGTTATTGAACTCTCTGACACAAGCACTGCAGAGTGCGGGTTTGGATCTGTCACAGGCCAACATCTCGGTGCAGATCGATCTCGGAAAGCATGCTAACAGAGAACTAACATCAGGAACTTCTGCTAAGGTATGGCTGGAACAAATAAAGATATCGGTCACCTCTTGTTGGTCAATCCCGTTAAGAGGTCTATTGTTCCATGTTGTTTATTAAAATTTGAGGGGACTGTATTGATTAAATTAGTCTAACATACACAACAACTTGGTGTTCAATATTTTAACAGGATCCACAGAATTCCCCCACTCGAGCAATGACCCATCTTAGAGATGTGAGCAATGGAGAGGAATCCGATCATGCTCAAAAGCGGATGAAGAAATAAGATAGGCAAGTTTAGAATCTTTTGTTTTGCTCGGTTATTTTCCTTTTCTGTTTGTTTTGGCTTCATTTGGGTGATTGTGTTTGTATATGCATGTGTTTCTGTGGAGTGGTTCCTCAGATTTCTGTAGAAGGGATTGATGTCAATGTTTATCATGGATGTAATTGATGTAATGTTTATCATGGATGTAATTGATGTCAATGTTTATCATGGATGTATCATTCTTATTGACTTTAATATATTTAATATTATTTCCATGTTTGTTGTTGAAGTTGGTTTACCTTATAATGGTAGTTGCTTTCCAGCATCCGATTCATGGTTCATGTGCTTTTTAACCAAAGATCCAAACCCTTTTCTTACCTTATTTTGGCTTAATTAGAAAATAAGTACTCAAAATATACCATTTTTCCTAAATAGATGCCCTAATCCCTGACATTACTAATGTTACTACTTTAAGTGTCCGACTGTAACGGCCGTTAAAAAATCCTGTTAGATGACATATGTCATGTTTTGATAATTTTGAATTTTCTTTAAAAAAAACTTAAAAAATATTTTGAAAAAAAAAACTTAAAACTCATTTTAGAAAATATCCCACGCCCCCCTCCCCCCCGAAAAAAAACAACCTGACGTGCCCCTTCCCGGCAACCGTTCGTCCCCTCCCTCTCCCCAAACCCCCGACTGAGATAACCCTGAAATTCCAATCCATCTGAACAATAAATAAAAATAATGGTGGTCGACGGGTCAGCAACTTATTTTCTAGATTAAGGATTTACGACGTATTTGGAATTTTAGGAATTAAGGATTGGAGAGTATGAGTTTGAGAATTTTGGATTTTCAGATGATAGCTAGGATTATGTTCGACATTGGGTGGTTGGCTACGTATGGGTCATTTTTCTCCAAAAGATAGGTGGTCGGAGATGATTGGGGATTGGAGTAAAGGGGATTAGAAAAAGAGATTTTAAGAATTAAGGGTTATTTTTATATTTTAAAATTTTCTAGGATTATTTTGAGAGATTTTTAGGAATTTGAGATTTCTTCTGATTTAAAAAAAAATTGGGTTTTCTATTATAATAATATATTTAAGTTTTTTTTAAATAAAATTTCTAAAATTGCCAAAATGTATAAATGTTACTTAATGGGGTTTTTAATAGTTGTTATGATCGAAATACCTAAAGTGATAACGTTTGTAATGATAAATACATAGATAAATAAAACAAGTAAACACTTATTTTAAAAAATATATAATTTAGGCACTTATTTTCTAATTAAATCTTTTATTTTCAAATAAGAAAGCAATTCTTCACTGCCTTAAACGTTTTGGCAATTAAAAATCTTTTTAGTAAGACAATAACCATCAATATATAAATGTTTAAAAAAATTAGGTATGCTCGTTAATTATTACTTGAACCCAAAAATTTAGTTTACTCAACTTGATTCCACCTTGATTTAATCATAAAAATTAATTATTCGATTTTAAAATTAATATGAAATGATTCAAAGTTAAAACTGAAATTAACTTAAAGTTGATTTGAAATTAAAATCATCCAAACAAATCACTTAAAATAATTTAATCAGATAGCTTAAAATGACTCAAATTTAAAGTGATTTAACTTAAATCGATTGAAACTTATAATAAATTTTGAAAAAAAAAATTGAATATTAAATTTAAACTGATGACAATGGCCTCCTAAATGTTATAAATATAATTTTAGTCCCTTAAAATTTTAATTTGAAAATCACAACAATTTATCTCGTTAAAATTATAAAATTTCAATTCAAATTTTTTATAAATTATATACCTATAAAAAATAATAGGATTGTATTTTTTAACCTTATGTATTTTAAATTTATGGCAAAAGGAATTAGAAGTCCTTTTACTTTTTAAAAACATCAATGTAACCCTTGTATTATTTTTTTTCTTTCAGTGTGACCCTCAACTTAGAAAACAAACACAATGTAGCACTTTGACCAACGTTTTCCACTGTTGACTATTACGATGCTAATGTGACAGTTCATACTGACGTGGTAGTCCACAATGTGACGTGGCAGATAACATGGTAGATGAGCTAAATTAAATTTTTTATTTTGCTTGAGGGTCAATTTTTTATGTTCAAGGAATTATTTAATGTTTTTTAAATAAAGGTTATTTTGAATTGTAAATATAAAATTATTTAAACATTCAAAAAAATTAAATATAAAAAATATAAAAATTAAAAATTAAATTACTGAAAAATTGAATATGCATATTAAAATATTAAAACTATTATAATTTTTTAAGAGTGAATATATATATAGGTAATAAAATAATTACTTATAAATTATTAAAATTAATTTTTTAAAAAGTTATATTATACATAACAAATATATGCAACATATAGGCTTATCACTAACACTTATACAAAGTATTCTTATTGAATTAATCTATAATTACAAAATTTAAGTTAGTTGAGACTTATAATTTTTGGATCGGTCGAAACTTATTATATATCCTAATTATCATTTGTAAGTCTTGACTAATTTAAAACATAATTATATAATAGGTTTCAATATAAAAGATAATTATAAAAACAATAAGTTTTGATTACTATAAAATTTGTAAGTTTCGACTAATTTAAATTTCGTAAGTCTCGATTAATCTAATAATAATACTTTGTATAAGTGTTAATGATATGCCTTTATATTACATGTATATATTATGTGTAATATATTTTTAAAAATATTTTTTATTTTTAATAATTTATTAGTTATCATTTAACGAAAGCTGCTCTCAACCTAGTGTTGGGGCATCCTACTATCTTACCTCTCCCTTACCTCGTTACATATGGGAACAAAGGACAACCATTTTATTAGTTATCATTTAATAACATATGATATATATTCAAAAAATTTAATTTTTATAATAGTTTAGTATTTTTAATATGTATATTTAAATTTTAGTAATTTAATTTTTATTTTTTTATATTTAATTTTGGGTTAACTACAAGGATGACCACTTATGTTTGTATTTTGTCCACTTTTGGTCACTGATTTAAAAAAACATAAGATGTGGTCACTTTCGTTTTTATTTAATTAATATATGGTCAATTTTATTTTTATTTAATTAAGATATGATCATTTTCATTTTTATTTAATTAAGATGTAGTCATCACGGGTTAACTGTTGTTAACAATTAACATAATACGTGACATGATAGTTGGTATGATGACACATTTGGTCAATGTTATTTGCATATGCTCTTAATTTAGTCATACTTTTAATTTTTTTAACATAATATATATTTTAAATGAAAATAAAAATAAATATTTTTAAATTAAGTTAATAAATATTTAATAAGTTAATATAAAAAATGTTTCTAAGTTAATATATATAAAATAGTATGAATTTAAGTATTTATAAACTAAGATACAAAATATACCCACCATGTTGTCTACTTTAGACCAAGCATTGGTGGAAATAAATATATTAAATTAAACTAAAGTTAGTCCTCCGTCCTAATGGTGACACATGGCATGACATGTGACATCATTCGATTGGAGGAATAAATTTATTTTAATTTATTAAAAGTAGGACCAAATGGAGAGAATATGTAAATAATAAGGACATAATGTGTGATATATTAAAATATTTAATTGCTATTAACGACAGTTAACTCGAGGTGATCACGTCTTAATTAAATAAAAACGAAAGTGATTATATCTTATGTATTTTGAAATCAGTGGCCAAAAGTAGACAAAGCACAAACATAAGTGATCATTCGTATAGTTAACTCTTAATTTTTTGAATATTTGAATAGTTTAATACCTAAAATGTAAAATATTTTTTATTTTTTAAAAAATTAAATAAGCCATTGAAGTTAAAAAAAATCAATTTTAACCTCTAACAAAATAAAAAAAATCAATTTAGCCTACATATTATATCATTAATTATTGTGCACTGTCACGTTAGAGCTGTGAATTACCACATCATCGACAAAAACATTGATTAAATTATAATATTAAATTTATTTTATAAGTAGAAAGATGATCTTCAGAAAAATAATATAAAGATGACATTAATTTTTTTAAAGTAGTGGAGACTTTATTGTCTTTTTACCTAAATTTATTCCAACTCTCTTTAAAAGTATTCTAGGGTTTCACCCCATCTACATAACCCTATGGCTGTTGAAATAGGCGGAGAGGGCTGAAATTTTGAAGTTGAAATACGGGAAAAAGGCAGAGAGTGCCAAAAGAAAGTTAGAAATAGAAAAACAGAGAAAAAGGGTTATGAAATTAGCTATGCGCCAAATCTGACGTAAGCTTCCTAGAAGCTTTTCATCACGACATGCCATATAAAACAATTCCCGTAACAGAACAGCCGCAATGCCTTCTTCCATTACTAAATTAATAAAACGGCTATTATTCAAATTTAATTTATTTGAATCTTCAAGCCTAGGGTTTTCAAAACGGTAAAATTCAGATGTTATTTGTTATGTGTTAAATTTTAAATAACAGAATAATTATTTGTTTTCTTGAAAGAATTCATGACCCATAAATAAAATTTAAAAAATATAATGTCTATTATTAAATAATTTAAAAATAATTAGAATAGATATTATCTTAATTTAATATTTTTTTAAAAAAATCTAAAATACTTTAATTTCTTTTATTAAACCCCCCCCCAAATATTAGTCTCCCCTCGTGCGTATCAAGCAAGATTCCCCATCATTATTTACTTCTCATATTTTGTTTGGTTTCTTCATTATTATTATTAATAATTTAATATTCTCCTCCTCATAAGCCGAATTTTCTTGTATGCGGATTTAACAGTTTTGATCATGAATCGAGAGCACTCGCCGCAAATTATCAGAAAACCCCAACGACCCAGTTTCTTCAATGCTCTCACTGTTTATTTCTCCCTATAAATCGATCTCCTTTTCCCTTTGAATCCCCCCCGCTCTGTCTCTTCTCTTCTCTTCTCTGTCGCTTTGGTTAAAGTAAGTTCCTGCCGTTGCATTTTCAGTAATTTGATCTTTTAATTTCTCCCCTACTGTCTTAATTGTTTATGGTAGTTATATCCGATTATTTTTTTAACGATTTCTCTTCAATTTCGTGTTTTTAACTGCTAACTGGAATTAGGGTTTATAGTTGCTGCGACCTTTTTGTGGATTCCGTTTGTGAATTTAGTGAACCTAAGCTTGTTGGATCATTTGAATTCGCTTGACCTTTTTCTTACGTTTTGAATTCTGTGTAGTCTTTATGCTATTGGCTATGTTTCTCTGTGTTTCGAGCTTTGAAAATTTATTTTAACAATTACTTAAATTCTTGATCTTTTATTTTTTGAAGGAATTAAATTCTTGATCTCTGTATGTATTAGATTGTGTGCTTGAATCTTGGGGACAATGGTTTAAATGGAAAAAGGGTATTTTTTTAAAAGAGCAGGGGCCTCGTTAAAAAGGGTAATAACTGGTTTGATGTGAGATTATTGTGTATTTCCTGTTTCATTTGTTGTATTATTGCTAATCAGGGATATGTTTGTCTTTAATCATGCTGAAAGCAGAAGAAAAATGAGTGGGAAAGCAGCGAGGAAGAACCTGTTGAAAAGCTGTAACATGAAAGGGAAATTTGGGAATGTTGCTTTCATTGATGTTGATGGTGATAGATTTGAGAACATTATCATCATTGATGCTCCTGAGTCTGTGGAGGAATGTTTACAAGGTTTCAGTGGGCCTAGCAGTGGTAAGCATTTTCCTGCTCCAGATATAATTAGCATTGATGATGATGAAACTGATAAAATGGATAATCCCGAGATTTGTAAATGTGGTGGTGACTTGGATAGTGAGGCCTCATCAAGAAAAAGTTGTCCTGCATCGGACTTTAAGCTGAAATCTACAGGATTAGATGATGATGACTGCTGGTTCATCAGGGAAAAGAGACCTGCATTTAAACTATCAAAGTGCAAGAAAACCTATGCTGGGAAGACTCCTTTTGGAAAGCGTTTTGGTTTAAGTCCTGAGTCTGAGGATAGCTCATCTGAAAGTGATTATTCTGATTGTGAACTTATTGAAGGTTCTGTTGGAAAATTTCAAGAACAATGGGAGAAAGCTTCCCGGAGAAGGCAATATAATATTAGAAATGGTCAATCTGGTTTAGAGGATCAGACAAGTGGCTCAGGATCACGTAATGACACTCCTCCAGGAGTTGGAGAAAATGCGAGTCAACAATATGCTGAAACCCCTGCATCCTCCGGTTCAAGCGGTTCAAGTCTTCAGAAACAAAACTCTCCTACCTTTGAGATTGACAGTGATAATTACCAGGATGATACATGTCTCAATCGTGGGACAGAAAGGCCTTTCGTAGAATCTGATGATAAAGTTGACCCTGAAAGCCTTTCACGATCAAAATATGGGCCAACTGCTGAAGCACAGTTTTTTCATGTTCAGGCTGATGTTATATTTGGAAGAGAAAGATTTGTAAAAGTTCCTCTTTCAAGGAATAGAAATGAAGAGTTTTCTTGGACACCCTCAAATTTTGACCCATACCCAAGTGATTTGCAACATGGAAATACATTTGCAAATGGAGAAGAGAAGCTACAATCCAAAGAATCATCGGAAGAAAAACCGGTTGAAAAAGATGTGAATCCTGTCGATGTTGAAGTCAGAACTCTTTTTGATGAATCCACTTCTGTTAAGACCCCATTGGATGGAATTCGAGTAGTCAGCAGTAAGAGATTTTGTGATGTGGACAGTTTTCAGAATAATGGAACTCAAATAAGGCAATCTTTGTCCATGGCAGAGCTATCAAACATTAATTCTATGCTCAACAGTAAAAAATATGATGAAAGTGTGCATGTTCAAGTTGCTGATGCCATTGTTTCTTGTAAAAAGGATATGATTATAGACAGAGAAAAGTTCAAGGAGACAGATGAATACAAGCAAGCTATGGAAGAAGAATGGGCATCTCGGCAGCGAGAGTTAAAAATTCAGGTTTGGCACTTAAATTGATCTCTCTCTCTCTCTCTCTCTCTCTCTCTCTCTGGACTGGATGCTTACTTTTGTTTTCTGTACATTGCTAAGATTTTAGGGAACAAGTAATTAATTATTTGAAAACTTGTTTGGATGAGATAATCTGCATTTTACACTAGTCTTTTGTATTATGGTCTGATTTTTTTTAACCAGAAAGCATGCTGATGCAATCATATCTTTCTCATCTCCTTTTCAACTTCAACACAGTTTCCTTTGCAGTCTGTTTATCATCATCTACACTGTTAACTCAATGGTTAATTTATAAACATGTTAGTTGACTTGTTGTCTTATAATCTTCATACAATTTGTTAAACAAGTTTCAATATCGGTACCTTTTTTTGGATAACTAATGTTTGTCTTATTAACAGGTTCATATTTGGCTATTTTGTATTAGTTTAGTGTTTAAACTTGATGAAGTTGGAGTACAAAATTAGTTCTGTGAATCACATTTACATGTAAAATGCAAGCAACATCTGATTGAATGTTTTTGGTGAATGGTTTTGTGTTGTACATGGAATATTTGATTGAACATGTTGCTTAACATTTATCTAACTTGCTTCTTTTGCAGGCTGAAGAGGCTCAAAGATTGCGTAAAAGGAGAAAGGCTGAAAGTATGCGTGTGTTGGATATGGAGAGACGACAAAAACAACGTCTGGAGGAAATGAGGGAGACTCAAAAGAAGGTAGGGATATTTATCTATAATTATTTTTTATCCTTGTCTTTCATGTTGCTTGTACTTCATCCTATATGCTTTATATAATTATGTCTTACTCTGTTAAACTGATTTCTACTTCAGGATGAGGAAAATTTGACCCTAAAGGAACAACTAAGAACGGAAGTAAGAAAGGAGCTTAGTAAATTGGAAATATCATGCATTGATATGGCCTCATTGCTTCGTGGCTTGGGGATCCCTGTAGGTGGCGGTTTTATCCCTTGTCCAATGAGGTGGGTGACATTGGATTTTTTTTTATATCCTTGACATTAATATTGTTCCTATTGATTGAATCTTGAAAATGATTTGATTGATTCAGATATCTTGTTATCTCAGTACCCAATAGTTTCAAATTAGGTGCTCTGCCCAGAAATTGTTAGAACATTTAAAATAACGACACTATTGTTTCATTAACTTCTTGATAGCTCCTGCTTTGTGAGGCCACGAGGAGATTAGAATTTGCATGGTTTTATGTCCATTTTAAAATTGCAGGTTGTTCTCTGACAATAATTAATGGTCTTTCCCAGATTCATGCAGCTTATAAACGAGCCTTGTTAAAATTTCATCCTGATCGAGCATCTAAAACTGATATTCGGCAGCAGGTTGAGGCGGAGGAAAAGTTTAAGCTCATTTCTCGCATGAAGGAGAAATTTTTACAGACTTCTTGTCACTGAGTGCTAACATAGGTTCAAAATTTGACACTACAATGCATTTTTTGTAGTTTCATATTTAGGTAGGATTTGACATTTTAGTAGTGTTGCATATGTTAAGAATTTTTTTGCCAGTTCCTATCAGTTGGAGTGGTCAAAATTGTAAAGCAGATGTAAATACTTGCAAAGATATCATGGTTATATTCTATGCTGCAGTCTGAGAATGGAATGAACTTGACTGCTGTGTTTAATCCATAATGTAGAACAGGTTGCATCACAAGAGGTTGCTGTACTCCCTATGAACTCACATTACAGGGGAACCTAGCTTTTACTTTTCCAGAATTTATTCTTAGATTAACTTGTCCTAGTTTCAAATTGCATGCATTTTTTTCGTTTTAAAACGACAAGGTATCTCCTATGGCATGGTTTATACTTCTTTGGATACAATTACTGCAAAGATGTGTTTCAGGTTTATTTTTTTGTTTTTATGTTGCTTGGACCTCGGTGGAAGTGTTAGAAAAGTGTATGCTTGAGTTAGACATGGGCATGCTCAACCTTTCTTTGTTTTGGTGAAGTGCATGCTCCATGTTTAAGGAACAAATAACCACATTCTCCTTGATTTTTGTTTCCAAATAAGCTCCTTTTCATGTAGGAATTGTTTTTTCAAGGTATAAGCGAATTTCAAACTCTATGGTGCTCAGAACAATTTCGATTAGGGTAAACTACATGGGTGATCACTAAACTACATCTCATTTTCATTTTGACCACTGACATTTCGATTCGATCAATTAGACTGCCTAACTATTTAAATGGTTTAATCAAGTCATGTGGCAGTTAATAAAATTGGCAATATTATATATTTGGTTTTTAATATTTACACAATTTATCAATTTAGTTACTATTTTAATTCAATTAAATAAATTTAACTATTCAATCCGGAGGTGCCATGTGTCCTAGGGGTCTCGTTCATATAGTGACACGTGGTGCCTTTGGATTGGAGAGTTAAATTTATTTAATTGAATTAAAATAGTGATTAAATTAATAGAATGTGTAAGTATTAAGGACCAAGCATATGATTGTCAATTTTATTAATTATCACGTCATCACATCTGTTAAAAATTAACGGTTATTGGCTTAATTGAACGATTTAAAATGTTGTAACTGAGTTAGGATGTCAATAGTGGTCTAAGAATTTATGAGAAAACGCATTACATTATCAATCTATTATAAATGATTTTATAACACTCCATAAATTGCAAATTATAAATAACAAAATCAAACATGATAAAGAGAGAAGTTTGAGAGTTGAAAATCGTGGAAGTGCATGTGTAGTAAAATATGAGCGGTAAAAATTGAAAGGAAGAGTAAGAAATTTACGTATTGGGATTTGGGAAAGTGGGAATAACAAATCTAATCTTAATATCAAATCATCATTAACAATTGATTGTACGAGATTCATGATCAAATCTAAGAACTAACTGATATTAAATCATCAACAATAAATAATTGTACAAGAGTCTATGAAATTTTAAAGTTATTAAACTTTTATATGAATCAACTTATCTCAGTTATTAAAGGAATTGTTGTTGTTCTTAGAAGTCACGGGTTCGAGTACCAGCGGTTGCAGTAGGGTGATTGAGCGTTCATTGTTAAATGATTTAGAGTATTTAGAACATATGTTACTTTGTAATCACCTTATTTTAATAAAAAAAATACTAAACTTTTTTTAATACCATAGGGTGATTATAAACGTGTGTTTGTTAATATTTTTATAATTATTAGTAACATATGTACATTTTGTAGACGTAACTGTTTAAATTTAGAATCTTTAAAGAGAATAACATTACTTTTAGTCATTGAGATTGGTAGATAAGTTCTATTTGTTATAAACTTTTATTAATAAAGATGATTAAGGATTTCTTTTTAAATTTTAAATTTAAATTTCGAAAAATGAATGATTTAATCTATCGGTCATAGCCTTCATCATCAATTTGTGACGTGGAGGTGACGTGTTAGCTTTTATTATTGATGACGGATACTTCAATTTTTTTCCCCTGAAAAAGTAACAACATGCATGAATTACGCTATGCAATATTCAAAGTCAAAACACATTTCAAACTGACACTTTAGGTATCTGTAACTAAAGTATGAATGTAACGCATGCCTTAAATACTTTGCATGTCCTTTTGATGCATGGATTGACTGCTTCAAATCTCCTCCTTCTCAATTGATTGGATGACATAATTACATGATAATAAAAAATAGTACTAAATTAGCTTTATATTTAGAATTCTTCAAAAGATTTCAAGAACACCTTCATTCATAAATAAAAAGAAGAAGAAGAAGAAACTAGATTGTTTAAACTTATGGGTATCTCACTCTTGTTCTTCTCGCTCTTTATAGGGTTATCCTCATGCGCGCGGCATCCCATTTCTGGCCACGGTGGCCTGAACTGTGATCCATCTCTTGTATTCGAAAACCCTAGGCTTAGAAATGCCTACACAGCTTTACAAGCTTAGAAACGAGCTATTGTATCCGACCCTTTAAACCTCACTGCTAATTGGGTTGGTTCCGATGTTTGCAGTTACACCGGGGTTTACTGCGCTCCTGCACCTGATGACCGCTCCATCAAAACAGTTGCCGGCATTGATTTAAACCACGGTGACATTGTTGGGCACTTGCCGGAAGAGATTGGCTTGCTCACTGATCTCGCGGTGTTCCACATCAGCACCAACCGATTTTGTGGTGGGGTTCCGAACAAGTTCAGGGACCTGAAGCTTCTGTTCGAACTGGATCTTAGCAACAACAATTTCTCCGGTGAGTTTCTTTGCGTGTTTCTTGTTAAAAGTCAGAAACATGGGGTGCACCGAAAGTGCACATTTATGCACCGAATATAATTGTAAAATTTTGCAATTAAATTAGTTGAATTTGGACAATGGTTAAATCTCAATTCTAGTCATTGTAATTTAGGGTATTTATAAATTAGTCCTTAAGCTTCAACTATAAATACCCTAGCTCATTTAGCTTCAAAACCATCCCATAACATTCTAGCTTTCTTCCAATACTAGAGTGAATTTAGAGAGTTTTTTGAGAGTTGTTTTCTCATTTTTATCAAGAGAGAATTATCATTGTTTTCTCATTGGTAGATCGAGAGAGGTTGTAATTCCTATTTTTCTCATAGTGAAATTCTTCTACCGTTGCCCGTGGTTTTTACCCTATATTATTTAGGGGTTTTCCACGTAAATTTTATGTCTCTTTTATCTTCATTTTTATTTTCTCAAATTATCAGTTGCGCTTTTGCTCTATTCGATAGCCGTCTTCCGCAACAATTGGTATCCGAGCTAGATTAGAGTATGTAATATCTGTTTATTGTCTTTGTGGTTGCCACCAAAAGGTGGATCATCCAACAAAGAAAGTAAGAAGTTATTACCATTCTTTGAAGGTTCCAGAGAACTATTCACGATAGTGAAATAGTGGGAGCTATCCGTAAAATAAGCTATGACAACGAAATTTGATATTGAAAAATTCAATGGGAGAAATTTCTCATTGTGGAAATTGAAGATGAAGGCTATCCTGAGGAAAGACGGTTGTCTAGAAGCTATCAGTGAAAGGCCAGTGGATTTCACAAATGACAACAAATGGATGGGAATGGATGGAATGCTATGACAAACTTTCATCTAGCATTAGCAGATGAAGTATTGTCAAGCATCGAGGAGAAGAAGACAGCTAAGGAGATATGGGATCATCTCACCAAATTGTACGAGGCCACATGGTTGCACAATAAATTTTTCTTAAGAGAAAATTGTACACTCTCCGTATGCCAGAATATACTTTAGTGACGGAGCACTTAAATACACTAAACACTTTATTTTCTCAGCTTACATCCTTAAGCTGTAAAATAGGAGAACAAGAGCGTGCTGAACTTCTACTTCAAAGTCTACCAGATTCGTATGATCAACTCATCATCAACTTGACAAACAATAATGTCACCAGTCTAGTCTTCGATGACGTTGCAGCTGCTGTTCTATAAGAAGAAAATCGGTGCAAGAACAAGGAAGACAGACAAGTAAATCTACAACAAACAGAAGCGTTGACAACGATGAGAGGGATATCAACAGAACGTGGCCAAAGCAGCAGTCACAAACATGGTAGATCGAAGTCGAGGCGCAAGAAGAATTTAAAGTGTTATAACTGTGGAAAGAAAGGTCACTTGAACAAGGATTGTTGAAGTCTAAATAAAAACTCCAATCCATAAGGCAATACCGCAGACACTTCAGATATGGAGATGCTCTATGTTGTGAAGAGTCAACCACCGTGGAAGGCAGAAAAAGATTTATAGATATATGGCTCATTGATTCAGGAGCAATATATCACATGACCTCAAGAAGAGAATGGTTCCATCATTATGAACATGTCTCAAGGGGATCTGTGTATAGTTGCAATGATCATGCCTTAGAAATCATTGGCGTGGGAACCATCAAATTGAAGATGTGCGATGGAACAATTAAAGTTGTTCGAGATGTGCGCACGTGAAAGGCCTGAAGAAAAATTTATTATCTACAGATTGTTGGATAATAATGCAAGCAAGATTGAAACACGGAAAGGAATCATGAAGGTGTTCCGTGGAGCGCTTGTGGTGCTGAAAGGCGAAAAGATAGCAGCAAACTTGTACATACTGAAGGAGAGTCTTTGCTAGAAGCAGAAGCCTTGTTGCCTCATGTAGTTCAGATTCTGCAATGCTATGGCATCAGAAACTTAGACACATGTCAGAACAAGGAATGAAAGTCCTTGTGGAGCAAAAGCTACTTCCAGGCTTAACAAAGGTATCACTTACTTTGTGTGAGCATTGCATAACAAGTAAGCAGCACCGGTTGAAATTCAACACGTCAAATTCTAGAGGTAAAATTGTTCTAGAATTGGTTCACTCTGACGTATGACAAGCACCAGTTACATCCCTAGGTGGAGCAAAATACTTTGTCTAATTTATTGATGACTACTCTAGGAGATGTTGGGTGTACCCTATT